GACTCTGACTCCTCTACGGGATGGCCCTTCTGTCTTTGGCCGTGACCTTTTCTAGGGTGATGGCAGCTGCGAGACGGTGGAGATCATACATCTCTCGTCATTTCTGCAACAGGGAAATAAACCCATGGCAGATCGGGAATGACTGGGAAGTACACCAGACTGTTAGATAGTTTTGGGTTGGAGAAATGTTGCTGTCATATATACTCCGGCCTTCTTAAACTTCGCTTTTGGAAAGAGTCTCATGGTTTGCTAACTTGGTTTCAGTTCCACAGAGATCTGCTGGGAGGAAAGTTCCTTTAAACATCCCCGGGACATACTTCGCAGTAAAGAACAAAGCTTTCCTTAGTCTTGGGAACTGGAGAGGATTGTCAAGTGCCAGTAGGTGGGAAAGTGACTTTGATTTTCAGCATGTGGGTTCTGAATCTACAGGAAAGACAGCATTTCATTCTGGAAATCTGAGTTAATTGTTGTCCTTACCTCAATGAGACACAAGATTAAAATAAAAATTGTGAAGATGACAGTAACGAATATCGCCACGATTGGTTTTTTATGATAGCCATATCCTGGAACTTCTTTAGTGAGCTAAAAAAGAGAAAGAAAAGAAAGGAAAGAACAAGTTTTTTAAAAAACAAAGTAGTGGAAAGGGCGCTAGCTAGCTATTCAATACCCCATTCTTCCAATTGGTAGCCTATAGGATCGTAAATAGCAGAGCAAGTCTAATGCGTTACATGGTCGCACTACTAGCATTTCCTTCTGCAATTTGTGTTGTGTATCGGGTTTGCTTCCTGACTCCTGGCCCTTCTGCTCGCTCTGGGCCTCAGTACTCTTTGATGTAGTTGTTCCTCCATTGTTCCATGTCCCACTCCGCATTGGCCACCTTCACCTCCTGCTGCTCACTGAGGAGCTTCATCAGGAAGCCCATCTGGGAGATGAGCTTGGCACAGGGCAGCTGCACATGGCTCTCGGAGCAGTCCATCTTTAGGGTCCTGATCACATGGGAAACGAACCTCCGCAAATCGTTGTCCAGGATGAGGAATTGCAGCTGCTGGTTTAGCTCACTCTCAAATTGGTCCCCTGGGGATAAGAGCAGCGGGTACGTGGAGCTCTGCGGCGTGGGGGGCAGATAGGGCCCCGGGTGGCTGACCTCCCGCTGCATGTCATTGATCTGTTTGATGGGCAACATGGCATTGAAGGCAGGCACGGTGGAGTCGGCCTCGGAAGGGTTCGCCAGCCCTCGCGAGGGCAAGTTGATGAGGTTCCGGACTGTAGGGAGTGGTGGCCTCTTGGCAACCATCAGTTGACCAGATGAGCCTTCCTTCCCGAACTTCCAACTCACCTTGGCCTTGGGTGCTCTGTGGACCACCTTGAAGTGAGTTTTACCTACAAGTGGATCAAGTGGATCCTGCATCATTCGAGATTTTGCTGCTGCCTCTTCCAAAATAAAGATAGTGTGCTTCAGGTCTTTGGACTCCCTTTGGTCCCCAGACAGGGCTTTCGCAGAGGTAGCTGGGAGAACATCCATCTGCTTCCTAGGGAAGAAAGCCTATGCGCCTGTGTGGATGAGGGCTTGGTGTGGGAGGGGCTGCCCACCAGCATCTGGGGCCTCTGCGCCCTGAGAGACCATTTTGGCTCCCTTGGGTCCGGCCTCCCACGCTTCCTTTCCATGGCATCATCCTCCACAGATGGCTGGGTGCTCTGTTGCCTCCCGATGAGCTGACTTTAACGGTCTCCTTTAGATGCCTTTTCTTAATGCCCTTGGGCCCTTTGATGATTACACCCACAGTCTGCAGTCTTTTCCTGACACCCTGAGTCTTTGACAGCCTGGTTCCCTGTTTTTGGGCAGTTTTCAGATGGTCTGCTGAGTTTTCGTGTTTAAAACCAAGAGATCCTCACTGCACCTCATCCCATAATCAAAGTTGGAGTTACTACACAGCCTCCTCCCCTCGGGGCCACTCTGTCTCCTCATCGACCTCCACCAATTCCCCTGGTGCTGTCCTCTCCGTCAGGGCTTCTCTGCTGTCCCTTGATGGGAAGGACAGGCCGAGGCTTGTTCCCCTGAAGAGAGCAGCTCGGCCTCCCCAACCTCCTCTTCCAGGCCCAGCTGCTCACACAGCAGCCCCCCTGAGTACAAACTCCTCATCACTATCTTCCTCATCCTTGTGCGGACTCTGTCCCATCTTCTTGGAGGTTTTCAAAATTTTGTATATGTCCTTGAGTATATGCAGGCAGCCCAGAGCTCTGGGAGAGGGGCCCGAAGCTGGATGGTCCCCGAGGACAGGAGGTCAAGTGCTGTGATTGGTCCCTGGTGGCCTGGGGAGAGGAGTCTTAAAGCCCCATACCCGGGGACGGTGTTGCCAGGTTTCCAGTGCCGCTTGAACTGGGAGCAATAGGGGCCCTGAATCCTTGGCCCACGGCCCATGGGTGGTGGCTGCTGGGAAAGATGGCTCAGCCCTGCTCTCCTGATGAGGTGATTTTGAAAGGTCTTCTTGAGTTGCCTTTTCTTAATGCCCTCGGGCCCCTTGATGATTACGCCCATGGTCCGCAGACTTTTCCTGACACCCTGAGTCTTTGACAGCCTGATTCCCTGTGATTGGGTAGTTTTCAGGTGGCCTGCCGAGTTTTCTTGTTTAAAATTAAGAGATCCTCACTGCACCTCGGCCCATAATCACAGTTGAAGTCACTACACAGCCTCCTCCCCTTGGGGCCACTCTGTCTCCTCATCGACCTCCACGACTCCCCTGACGCCTCTCTGTCAGGGCTTCTCTGCTGTCCCTGGGTGGGAAGGACAGGCCGAGGCTTGTTCCCCTGAAGAGAGCAGCTCGGCCTCCCAAACCTCCTCTTCCAGGCCCAGCCGCTCACACAGCAACCCCCCTGGGTACAAACTCCTCATCACTACCTTCCTCATCCTTGTGTGGACTCTGTGCCAACTTCTTGTGGGAGGTTTTCAAAATTTTGTATATGTCCTTGAGCCAGAGCAGCTGCCTCAGCCAGGAGATGCCCTCCTGGAAGAAGAGAGGGCAGGTGAACACCACGCTCCCACCTCCCTGGTGCCTGCCCTCGTGAACTTACCTCCTACTCCCTTGATGAGCACTTCCTGTGCAGCAGAAACCCAAAGAAGCCCCTGGGAGACATGCAGTGTCTGCCCTGGTCTCCCGTGCCGCTCGCAATGTCTGCCCCGGTCTCATGAGGACTGGGTGTGCACCTCGGCCCATAATCACAGGGAGGAACCCCTCCCCCAGGGCCAGGCTTGATTCACTGCAGGGGGGACTCCCAGAAGGCCTCCATGTTTAAGAGGGCCCCACAGTGTCTCGGAGTCTCTGATGGCTCAGCAAGGCGCAGAGGCGGGATTTTCAGCCCCATTCATCCCATGGCCACGGCTCTTGTGCAGTGAGCACACTGGCCAACCAGGCCAGGCGGAAGTATGGCACACCCTCGAGGGGCAATGTCCACCCATCTCCTCAGATGCGGTCTCACACAGCAGGAGCCGGGTGGGGGGAGGCGGGTGCTTCTATGACCCGGATGCTCTACCCTCTGAGCCAGATCACACTGAGCAAACGCCCGAGTCCAGCTAGCAAAGCCCCCCACCTCCCAGATTCCATCACTGCAGGCATCTCTGGGAGCGAGCGAGCTGCAGAGCCAGTTTAAAGGACATTGCTCTTTGTGAATTTGAGCAGAACAGAGAAACATCAAGCGCTGTTTCAGGAGCCACTTGTCTGTCTGGCGTGTGTATGCTGCTTTGTGGCACAGAACACGCTCAGCCCGGCCCGGTGGCGACAGTGCAGGAGCACCTGCTGCAGGGGACTGGCCTCTTTCAGATGCTCACTGGACGTGTGACCACGGGGCAAGACAGCCTGCCTTTCTCTTTCTCCATTTCCTGTTATAAAGGAGGAGACCAACTGCTGTCCAAGTTCTCTCCCAGTCAAAGCCCCATGAGGTCTGGATAGCAGGAATGGAGAGTGCAGGCCCAGCACCCGGTGGGGGGGGGGGGGGCTTTCCTGCCACTGTAGAGGAAGGACTCAGTTGTTCCACCTGCTCTCAGCTGTGAGGAGATTCGCCCCTCGCCCCATACCAAGTGGCCTTCCCTGCCCTTCCCCAGAGCTCCGAGAAGGCTTCTGGCCTGGCCTGATGCCCTCTGCAGCAGGAACAGGCACCGCCAAACTCTTCCCCACCTCCCGTTTCCCTGCGGGGCTGGTGAGAGCAGCCGTGTCCTTGCTAGCCCGTCCAACACAGCTTTGGGTATCTGGTTTTTGCTGGAGCCTGACCAAACACCAGGGTGAGGAAGCATCCTTCCTGCTTCTGGCAGTGACTGCACTACATAATGAGGGACAGTCAGAGGTGCGTTCCCTCAATTAAAAGTTGCAGGGTTAACGTTTACCTTGAGGTTCCTTGTTTTTTCATCTTCTTTCCATGAGCGTAAATTTGTTTTGGAAGAAAACGTGGCTATCTACCACAACGACCACTGTCTCTAGATCTTTATTAGTTTTAAGTCTTATCTACCCAATGCAGGAACTTCTTTGAAGACAGGAGTTCTATCCTGTTTTCTCTTCTACAGCACTGAGGGCACTGGCTCCAGGACACCCACACCCCAAACCAAAATCTGCAGCTGCTCAAGTCCCTGACATACAGTGGCGTAGCGTCTGCATACAATCTAAACACATCCTTCTGCATGCTTTTTTTTTTTCTTCTTTTTTTGAGTTGGTGGCTCAGCTTGTAATCCCGCACCTTTGGGAGGCTGAGGTGAGTGGATTGCCTGAGCCCCTTGAGGGTGTGCCATTATGTAACTGAGCAAAAGGTAAACAGAGGCAAGGTTCAGAAATAGTTCCTGTAAGTGGGACACGCCTCGGGATGCTTTCCCTGGGTCCCTTAGCACCTCAAACACTGGAGGAGCAGGAGCTACGTGACTCTGACTCCTCTACGGGATGGCCCTTCTGTCTTTGGCCATGTCCTTTTCTAGGGTGATGGCAGCTGCGAGACGGTGGAGATTATACATCTCTCGTCATTTCCGCAACAGGGAAATAAACCCATGGCAGATCGGGAATGACTGGGAAGTACACCAGATTGTTAGATAGTTTTGGGTTGGAGAGATGTTGCTGTCATATATACTCTGGCCCTCTTAAACTTTGATTTTGGAAAGAGTCTCATGGTTTGCTAACTTGGTTTCAGTTCCACAGAGATCTGCTGAGAGGAAAGTTCCTTTAAACATCCCCGGGACATACTCTGCAGTAAAGAACAAAACTTTCCTTAGTCTTGGGGACTGGAGAGGATTGTCAAGTGCGAGTAGGTGGGAAAGTGACTTTGATTTTCAGCATGTGGGTTCTGAATCTACAGGAAAAACAGCATTTCATTCTGGAAATCTGAGTTAATTGTTGTCCTTACCTCAATGAGACACAAGATTAAAATAAAAATTGTGAAGATGACACTAATGGATATCGCCACGATTGGTTTTTTATGATAGCCATATCCTGGAACTTCTTTAGTGAGCTAAAAAAAGAACAGAAAGAAAAGGAAAGAACAAGTTTTTTAAAAAACAAAGTAGTGGAAAGGGCGCTAGCTAGCTATTCAATACCCCATTCTTCCAAGTTGGTAGTCTATAGGATCTTAAATAACAGAGCAAGTCTAATGCGTTACATGGTCACACTATTAGCGTTTCCTTCTGCAATTTGTCTTGTGTATCAGGTCTGCTTCATGCTTTAAATGAGCAAAGTGTGAGGTCACTGTCATGGTCAAAGTTATGTGGCCAGGATGAGAGGTGCTGGAGCCCCGGGCTCCATGTGGTTCTCCCCCTCAGGGCATCCTCTGTGTTTGTGGTCATCCTCACCTCGTCTGACTCCTGGCCCTTCTGCTCGCTCTGGGCCTCAGTACTCTTTGATGTAGTTGTTCCTCCATTGTTCCCTGTCCCACTCGTTCCTCCATTGTTCCGTGTCCCACTCTGCATTGGCCACCTTCACCTCCTGCTGCTCACTGAGGAGCTTCATCAGGAAGCCCGTCTGGGAGATGAGCTTGGCATAGAGCAGCTGCACGTGGCTCTCAGAGCAGTCCATCTTTAGGGTCCTGATCACGTGGGAAACAAGCCTCCGCACATTGTTGTCCGGGATGAGGAATTGCAGCTGCTGGATTAGCTCACTCTCAAACTGGTCCCCTGGGGACAAGAGCAGCAGGTACGTGGAGCTCTGCAGCATGGGGGGCAGATCGGGCCCCAGGTGGCTGACGTCCCGCTGCATGTCATTGGTTTGTTTGATGGGTGACATGGCATTGAAGGCAGGCATGGTGGAGTCGGCCTTGGAAGGGTTTGCAAGCCCTCGCCAGGGCAAGTTGATGAGGTTCCCGGCTGCAGGGAGTGGGGGCTTCTTGGCAACCATCAGTTGACCAGATGAGCCTTCCTTCCCGAACTTCCAACTCACCTTGGCCTTGGGTGCTCTGTGGACCACCTCGAAGTGAGTTTTACCTACAAGTGGATCAAGTGGATCCTGCATGATTCGAGATTTTGCTGCTGCCTGTTCCAAAATAAAGATGGTGTGCTTCAGGTCTTTGGACTCCCTTTGGTCCCCAGACAGGCCTTTTGCAGAGGCAGCCGGGGGAACATCATCTGCTTTCCTAGGGAAGAAAGCCTATGCGCCTGTGTGGATGAGGGCTTGGTGTGGGAGGGGCTGCCCACCAGCATCTGGGGCCTCTGCACCCTGTGAGACCATTCTGGCTCCCTTAGGGCCGGCCTCCCACGCTTCCTTTCCATGGCAGCATCCTCCACAGATGGCTGGGTGCTCTGTTGCCTCCTGATGAGCTGATCTTGAAGGGGCTTCTTGAGTTGCCTTTTCTTAATGCCCTTGGGCCCCTTGATGATTACACCCATGGTCCGCAGACTTTTCCTGACACCCTGAGTCTTCGACAGCCTGGTTCCCTGTGGCTGGGCAGTTTTCAGGTGGTCGGCTGTTTAAAACTAAGAGATCCTCACTGCACCTCGGCCCATAATCACAGGGAGGAACCCCTTCCCCAGGGCCAGGCTTGAACATGATTCAGTGCGGGTGGGACTCCCAGAAGGCCTCCATGTGTCAGAGGGCCCCACAGTGTCTCGGAGTCTCTGATGACTCAGCAAGGCGCAGAGGCGGGATTTTCAGCCCCACTTAACCGGTGGCCATGGCCCTCATGCAGGGAGCTACAGGTGGTTTGGCAGCCTGCATCCTTTCAGATTTTCCAGCTGCATCTCCTCTGGCAGGGCCCGAGGCACCTTTTCCACTCGTGCAATGCCAGTATGGGCAGTGCCCCTGCTGGGCTCTCCTCACCTTTTCTATGCGTTTAGTGCTGGCCAGCGTCCTGTAGATAGAAATATTTTCTTTGCTATATCAATACAAGCTGAGCGTCCCTAACCTGAAAACCCAAGATCTGAAATGCTCCAAAATCGGAAACTTTTTGAGTGCTGACATGATGCTCACCCTGCCTGTGAGGACCAGAGCCCCTTCCAAGGCCGGCCACACATTCATGCATGAGCCGAGGACCCGGGGAAAGGCAGGACTTGGCCCACACTGTAGGCAGCCCAGAGCTCTGGGAGAGGGGCCCGAAGCTGGATGGTCCCCGAGGACAGGAGGTCAAGTGCTGTGACTGGTCCCTGGTGACCTGGGGAGAGGAGTCTTAAAGCCCCATACCCAGGGACGGTGTCCCAAGGCTTCCAATACTGCTTGAACTGGGAGTGAAAGGGGCCCTGAATCCTTGGCCCATGGCCCGTGGGTGGTGGCTGCTGGGAAAGATGGTTCAGCCCTGCTCTCCTGATGAGCTGATCTTGAAGGGTCTTCTTGAGTTGACTTTTCTTTTCTTTTTTTTTTTTTTGAGTTGGAGTCTCACTCTGTCGCCCAGACTGGAGTGCAGTGGCCGCTCCCGGCCACTGCAACCTCGACCTGCTAGGCTCCGGTGATCCTTCCACCTCAGCCTTCCAAGTAGCTGGAATTACAGGCATGCGCTACCACGCCTGGCTGACTTTTTGATTTATTGTAGAGATGAGGTCTCGCTGCCCAGGTGGGTCTCGAACCCGCGGGCTCAGGCAATCCACTCACCTCAGCCTCCCAAAGGCACGGGATTACAGGCTGAGCCACCGAGTCCGGCCGAGTTGCCTTTTCTTAATGCCCTCAGGCCCCTTGATGATTACGCCCATGGTCCGCAGACATTTCCTGACACCCTGAGTCTTTGACAGCCTGGTTCCCTGTGGTTGGGCAGTTTTCAGGTGGTCTGCTGAGTTTTCTTCTTTAAAACTAAGAGATCCTAAGGGGCCAGGCTACATCAGCACACCAGTTCCTATTTTCCTTTTGACTTCCTCAGTTTTTTTTTTCATTAGTGAACCTAACCAATTTTTAAGGATATAATACCTCCTCAATCTATTTCTGTAAGAATTGTTGGATATAGGTTCAAGAGAGTGGCTCCCTGTATCGCCTTTCAAAAGAGCTTGGGGCTTAGCTTATTAAGAACTTTTGACAAAAGCAGTTCAGTGAATGGTGACAATGTTGATTCCATATCCTCTAGGTTTCCCAGTGAGAATTAAGGCCAGATATAATTGAGTGCACTGATGACACTGCTTTCATCACTGAAGTCCAACTGTTCATTGATGATGTCTGTCTGTTTGACAACCCGCTTGTCTGAGCACCTTCATGAAGGTTCCCTCTGTGTTTTTTATTGCTGTTTCTTCGACTGTCAAGAGGAAGCACAGAGAAAAAAAAAAAAACAAAACCTGGGAATGCATCCTACAAAGGAGGTGCAGCTCTCTACAGTTTGTACTACCAACCACAGCTGGAAGAAACAGAAGACTGACATGAGCCAGTGGAAAACATTCCATGCTCATGGACTGGAGGAATCACCATCATTAAGAGGACCATACTGCCCAAAGCAAGTTGGCTACAGAGTCAACCTAATCCCTACTGAATGACCTCCGTCATTTTTCACAGATCTAGAAAAAATAGGACTCAAATTCATAGGGAAGAAAAAAGAGCCTAAATACCCAAATCATGCCTGAGCAAAAAGAAAAAAGCTGGAGCCATCATATTACCAGACTTCAAACTTTACTACAAGGCCATGGTAACCAAAACAGCATGGTAAAAAAAAATAGGCACATAGACCAATGGAACAGAATACAAATCCAAGAAATACAGCTGCTGACCTACAGCCAACTGTAAAGCCAAAAAAAAAAAAAAAATCAGTATTGGAGAAAGAACACCCTATTCAATAAACGGTGCTGGGAAAACTGGCTAACTATATGCAGAAGAAGGAAACCAAATCCCTTCTCTCCATGTACAAACATGAACTCAAGATGGATTAAAGTCTTACATATAAGACCTCAAACTATAAAAATCCTAGGAAACACTCTTGCTGCTCGGGTGCCGTGCCTCACGCCTGAAATCCTAACACTTTGGGAGGCAGAGGTGAGAGGACTGCCTGAGCCCAGGTGTTCAAGACCAGCCTGGGCAACTTGGTGAGACCTCATCTCTACAGTTTAAAAAAAAACAAAAAACTCAAACACTCTTTCTGGACATCGGCCGAGGCAACAAATATATGACCAAGTCCTCAAAAGTAAATGCAAGCTGGGCATGGTGGTGCATGCTTGTTATCCCAACACTATGGGAGGCCAAGATGGGAGGATTACTTGAGCCCAGGAGTTTTGAGATCAGCCTGGGAAACATAGCAAGACTTTGTCTCTTCCAAAAACAAACAAACAAACAAACAAATAAATTAGCTGGGTAACACCTATAGTCCTGGATACTTGAGAGGCTAAGGCAGAAGGTTTGCCTGAGCCCAGGAGTTCCAGGCTGTGGTGAGCCATGATGGTGCCACTGCACGACAGCCTGGGCAACAGAGAGAGACCCTGACTCAAAAAAAAAAAGAAGCAAATGCAGTAAAAACCAAAATTGACAAGTGGGATCTAATTAAACTAAAGAGCTTCTGTACAGCAAAAGAAATGATCAACAGAGTAAATAGACAACCTACAGAATGAGAGGAAATATTGACAAATTATGCATCCAACAATGGCCTGATATCCAGAATCTATAAGGAACTTAAATGAATTGACAGGAAAACAACAAATAACCCCATTAAAAAGTAGGCAAAGGATGTGAACAGACGCTTCTGAAAAGAAGACACACAAGCAGCCAGCAGACATATGAACAAATGTTTAGCATCAGTAACCATCAGGGAAATGCAAACCAGAGCCATAATGGGATAACATCTCACACCAGTCAGAATGGCTATTCTCAAAAAGTAAAACAATGACAGATATGGCAAGGCTGTGCAGAAAAGAGAACACTTCACACTGTTATGGGAATGTCAGCTAGTTCAGCCACTGTGGAAAGCAGTTTGGAGATGACTTGAAGAACTAACAATAGATTTGCCATTTGACCCAGCAACTGCCCTGCTGGGTGTATACTCAAGGGAGCATAGATCCTTCTACCAAAAAGACACCTGCACTCCATGCTTCGCACAGCACTCTTCACAACAGAAAACCACGGAACCAACGTAGGCGCCCATCAACGGTGGACTAGTTAAAAAAATGTGGTCCGTGCACACCACAGAAGACTACACAGCCATAAATAAGAACAAAACCATGTCCCTCTGCAGCAATGTGGATGCCACTGGAGGCCATTATTCTCTGTGAGTTAACACAGAAACAGAAGACTGTGTCACTTACAGGTGGGAACTAAACACTGGGTATGCACGGACACAAAGATGGGAACTCTTTATGGGGACCCTTAAAGGAGGGCAGGGGACAAGGCTGAAACACACCTATTGGGTACTGTGTGTACCATTTGCATAATGGACTTCATAGAAGCCCAAACCTCCCATCACTCACTGTATACCCATGTAACACACCTGCACATGGACCCCTTGAATCTCAAAGTAATAACCTAGAATAATATAAAAATAAAAGAGACTGCTTTGATCGCGAAAGATGAGGGGAAGGCCCGTGCCAGTCCACAGTCATACATCCCAGGCACAGAGTAGGAGTCAGCAAGCCTCTGAGCCATCCAGAGAGGAGAAGCAGAATCCCAGCCTGAGACTAGGAAATGGCACAGCAGAAGGAAACAACATCTTTTGAAAATGTGGCTGCCTGCTCAGAACACTTCATTCTGAGAAATACATTAACTCTCTTTAGGATTGCCCCCGAGCCCCAGTGGCCAAGGTGGAAGACGAGTGCTCCCGGCCAAGCCAGCCTAACTGCAGACCTGTCTCCTCATGCCCCAACCCGCGCTGTCCTCCCTCGGACACAGAGGGAGCGCGAGGCTCCGGCATGCCCGTGCTCTCGCTACATCAGATGGCCTCAGAGGGCAGCAAGGGCAGAGACGCCGACGCAGAGGCACCACCGCCCTGCCGACAGGCCCTCTGTGACAGATACATCCTCCTCTGCCACACACCCAGTTCCCTGTCCCATCTATCCTGGGCCTCATGCCAGAAGGCTCCACAGGGGAAAAAATCACTATGTCCATCCTGGTTCTTTCCTTAAGTTCGGGCAGAGACCCCAGGCGTAGGTGGAGAGATTTTTAATTTGCCAGCTTGTATGCCTATGTGGAGTGGTCAGTGTATCTGTGGAGTTTCTGGATAAACAGAACTTTAGGTCCTAAAATGCAGAAGGGAAGAAGCAACTT